ATTTTCTAAAACTTGAACCGAATGATGCGATAGTCCTGCATAATCGTGGAGAATGCTACTTCTTGACGGAAAGATATGAAGAATGGCTTGATGATTTTAACAAAACACTGGAAATTGATTCAAATAATGCATATACATTTAGTCAGTATGGTTTATCTTATTATTCTATGAAAGAATATTATAAATTACATAAATCACTTGCAAGCTTAAGTAAATTACTAAAAATTAAACCAAATAATGTATTTGCATTAAGACGACGTGGAGAAATATACTACATGCTGAGAATGTATAATAAATCGCTTAGAATAAATCCAAATGATTTATTTGTGCTAAAAATCCGTGAAGCAATTTATTTTATGAAGGATAAATATGACGAATCGCTCGTAGACTTAAATAAAATACTCAAAATAGAACCAAATAATGCAGTTTCATTAAAAAAAACGGGATCTAACTTATTTTATTGCAAACGCATATAAAATATCACTCGTAAATTCAAATAAATTTCTCAAAATAAGATATTTGCATTAAAAAGTCATGGAGCAACTTATCTTATGATGAATGAGTGTAAAAAATCATTTGTAGATTTAAAGAAACCCCTGGAAGATGACTTAAATGACATATCCATACTAATATTTCGTGGGAAATGTTATTTCATGATAGAAAGATATAAAGAGTCGATTAATAATTTCAACAAATCTCTAGAAATTGATCCAAATAATACATATATATTAAGATTGCGCGGATTAGCTTATTATCATATAAAAGAATATAATAAATCACTTGTAGATTTGAATAAATGCCTACAAATTAAGCCAAATAGCATATTTGCATTAAGACAACGTGGAGAAATATATTATATGTATAATGAATCGATTATAGATTTAAATAAAATTTTCGAAATAAAACCAAAAGAATTATTTTCATTAAAAATTCGTGGAGCATCTTATCATATCTTCGGACGATACAAAGGATCGCTTGCAGACTTAAGCAAATTCCTCAAAATAGAACCAAATGATGTATTTGCATTAAAGCAACGTGCTACGATTTATTACAAGATAAAAAGATATAATGAATCGCTGGTAGATTTTAATAAATGTTTAGAACTTGCTCCGCATGATGAAATAGCTCTAAAAATTCGAGGAAAAATTTATTTTGAAATAAATGAAAATAAAAAATCAGTTGCAGATTTAAATAAATCTTTAGAAATTGAACCAAATGATGCAATGGCTCTAAAAAATCGGGGTGCAATGTGTCTGAAGATGAGTGAGTATGAAAAGTCACTTGATGATTTAAATAAGTCTTTAGAACTTGTACCAAATGATGCATTTACTTTAAAAAATCGAGGAGCAACATATCAAAAATTGAATGAGCATAAAAAATCGCTTGCAGATTTAAATAAGTCTATAGAACTTGCACCAAAAGATACAGTTGCCTTACATAATCGTGGAGAATGCTATCTCATGATGAAAAGATATAATGAGTCGCTCGATGATTTCAACAAATCACTGGAAATTGATCCGAATAATGCTTGTACATTGAGATTACGTGGGATAGTTTATTATCATATGAATGAATACAAAAAATCATTTGCAGATTTAAATAAATCATTAAAGATCGAGCCAAACAATGTATTTGCATTAATACAATGGGGGAAAGTCTACTATAAGATTGGGAACCAATTATTTTCATAAAATTTTGAATTTCATTATAAACATCGTAATAAAATGAAGGGAAATAATTTAGAGTATTTTTGAGATATTATATTATATTGACGTAAAAATAAAACTCAGCTGTATTATAAGTTTGTACTGTTTTATTTTGAAACTAATAATAAAAATTGTAAAAATATCAAATGTAAATTAAAAATACTTCAATAAATATTAAAGTTATATTTAATTATATAATTAATTATTTTAGTATTTTAATTGATAACTAGACGAAAAACATACCTATAGAACTGTACCATGTATATGCAGCAACCCTCTTCAGCATATATATTTCATCATTCAGCTCATCCATTTTGGAATTAATTTTGAAATTAATTTTGAAATTAATTTTGAAATTATTTTTTGTAAATAGATATAAGAAATCGATTGACGCACAGATTAGTACCTAATATTATTTAATGCTTTACTATGATCAGTTTATAAAATAAATCAATTATTTTATGGTATGATAAAATAATTGAACTATTTCATAAATCTGAGATAGTAAATCATAAAATAAAACCGTTATTGCATGCTCCGTATGCACTAACTGCTGTATTTTATGTTCTCTTCTGATCGTTCGGTAACCCAGCCGTACCGGCTGGGTTACCAATCAATCATCATCGTCCATAAAATACAGCAGTTATTGCATACTTCGTATGCAATAACTATATAGTATCTTACCATATGTTACATGACTAGTAATACGTAATCCAAATTTGTATTGCTCAATAAGTTTAGATTCATTTGGATATTGCAAATTTTGAAAAAATTTGTTTCTAAATTTTGACTGTCTGATTCTTAAAAATATAATGTTAGTTCACGTTTATATTTGAATCTCATTGCCTTTATTGATTCGAAACTTTATTCTATAAGCTAGGTGGTTTTGGATCTTGTACTTGTGCAATTTATTCTTTTTATTTCACTTGTTTTAAAAAAGTTATAATAATTTAAAGTTTTACTAATAAAGAGTAGATGTGTTTTATTGTCTGGTACTATATAATCAAGCTTCAACCTAGATGCAAATTTATAATAATTGTAGTGATGCTCAATTGAAACGACAGATCAAAATAAAGATGATTCTAAATAGTTTAACGAAAATTTTATAAAAAATGAGTGTCGATTACAAAATTCCATAATAAAAAGTACGAAACACTTGAACAATACTTAATTCACTTTAATATTTATAAAGTTTTGATAAGTCAGCGCAGAAAAAAGAATATTCGGGGAAATAGTTTTTTAACTGAAATGATAAACTCACTTGATCATTTTTTACTATTTAAAATTTTTCTTTCACCCAACAAAATACCTTACTTATCTTAATGACAAGCTCGATTAAGAATACTTTCCGTTAATTAAAATTTATTTCCGACACACTTCAACCCATTAATTGAGGGGAGCTCAATTGGGTAAACTAGATCACGCCACCTTAGCGCAGCCGCAAAATCAAAACCATCGGTTTAGTTTTTCAAAGAAAAATTACAAATAATTATTAAACGCACTTTCAAAATTCTTTCTGCTACTGTAGTAAAAAAAATAATCTATAACATTAACGAAAATAAGAGCTTCTGATACAATCATACAACCAAGGAAATTTTATAAAGTCTTTTGTTCGGCACTTTATTCTTAAGAGAATAAAATTTGCCAAGACCTACGTTTACAAGCTTGTAATTTTAAAAATACCCAACTCTGTTTCAAATTAACACGAACATTTGAAATATTTTATTGATACTATTACAATTAGTGTTGGCAGGCGAAACTATTTTTGGCAAATGGCGAAAGACGAAACTAAACCCGGCGAAAGACGAAACTAGGCGAAACTCTGGCGAAACGGCGAAACTCTGGCGAAACCCCTGGTAAAGTTAAAACCCTGGGAAAAGTCAAAACTTGGCGATCAAATCCTCTAAAACTTTAGAAAGACTGAGGATATTCTCAAGCATCAACCTACTTGCGATTTTCTAATAATTTTAGTGGCGTTCAACTTCAACAATAGATCAAATAAAGATCTCAAATCACTGCTTGAGAGGATTTTAAAATGTTTATCTAAAATTTTACAAAAAATGTGTGCCAATAATGAATATTCATAATAAAAGTATGAAACACTTGAGCGATACTTTATTCACTTTAATTTTTGTAAATTTTTGATAAGTCAGCGCAAAAAAAAAAGGAGGTTTGGGAAAAAAGTTTTTTAACTGAAATTATAAACTCACTGATCATTTTTTACTATTAAAATTTTTTCTTTCATGTAATAAAACTACCTTACTTATCTTAATTACAAGCTCGATTGATCAATTAAAAATACTTTCCGTTAATTAAAATTTAATTCCTGACATATTTTCAACATACTTTGGCCTATTAATTGAGGCGCTTGAGAACGCCCTGAGCTATGTTAGCAAATCAAAATATTTGCATGTGGCTATTAAGCACAGCATGTGGCTTATTTAAAAATGTACAAAGGCAATAAACAAAGTAATAACCTTTTTATTTGTATCCAAATACTCTAGATTTCCAGCTTTTAGAACTTCAAAGTAAATAAATTCAGCCTTGAAAATTCAAAATCTAAAATCTAGTTTTTTTTTTTTTAGTAACGCTTATCTATATCTATGCATTAATGTTGTATAAAATAAACTTATCTAAATATTTCAATAAATTTATCGTTAGATTGTTGAGATTTTTCTTTTTAATATTACATTGTTAAAAACTTTAATTAAAAACATACGTAAGTAGTTTGTTAACATTATAATTACTAGCAATTATTTTCTGATGCTCTATTTTATCCAGCCCTAAATCTTAGAGTTATCTTTAAGAAATAATTATTATATTAATAACTTATAATAAATCAAATATAGAAAAATTTGGATCATTGATCAAAAAAATATTATTAAAAGGTGTCGTATATAATAGCACATATTGTATTTAAATATTAGATTGGGTTAAAGTTTAAATAAATCATAGTAATTGTATCTGCTTTGAAATCTAAATTTGATTATCTATAGGTAGATTATCTAGGTCGAAATATTTATAAATAAAGTTTTTATTAGGAGTTGGACCCGGGTAGAAATTGTTGATATATGATCATAATAAATTACCCGAATAATCTGGGTAATTTAATAATACCTGGGTAGGGATTTTCTCAACGGGTCCAACCTCTAGTTTTTATTATTGTTACTTGCTTTCTAATTTTTTAAATTCAATAATTTTAATTATTATATTTGATTTAATTAATTTATTAAAATATAAATAATTAATTTATTTTATCTTTTATATTTTAGCAATCCAATATTATTTTTTAAAATGAGTTCTAGTGAAGAAAATATTAGTACTTCTACTTCTATTGCAGAAAAAAATAAAAAAATCTTGGTGGTCGTCCAGATGGTCCAGTTTGGAATTATTTTACTACAGGTGAAAGAGTAGGAAAAGGAAGATATAAAGCAACTTGTAATTTTTGTGAAATATTATGGAATCGTGGTGAACCAATTGAATTAGAAAGTCATTTAGCAAATCATTGTTCAACAGCAGATTCAATGGTTATTAGATATTTTCTTACAAAAATTCTTTCTAATAATTTTGAAAAAAATAAATCAAATAAAAAAAGGAAAAGTAATATTTATGGAAAACTTGATTAACATGTTAGTATAATAGAAATAGATCAACAAAAAATTAAAAGAATTCATCTTGCTTGGACTAGAGCTTTTGCTATTTGTGGAATTCCTTGGAATGTTATTGAAAATCCTTTTTTTATAGAAGCATTAAAAGAAACAAACTTATTTTATAAACCACCAACTCGCAAGTTTTTAGCAGGTCATTTATTAGAACAACAATTAGCTCTTATTAATCAAAAAACTGATAATATATTTAAACAATATTCAAATTTAACTTTAGATAAATATATTCTATATTTTTAATTAAATTAAATTATAACTAATTAATTTAATTTAGCATTAGATGGATGGACCAATAAAAAAAGCTATTCAATTTGGAATTTTATAATTATTACACCTAAGCATAAAGAATATTTATATAAAATTTGTGATTATTCTGATGAAATACATACTGGAGAATTTTTAGCTAGCAAAATTAATGAAGTTTTAGATTCTATTGGTGTAGATCATTTTTCAGCTATAGTTAGTGATAATGGAGCTAATATAAAGCTTGCATGAAATATAATTTCAGTTCAACATCCATATATTTTTAGTATAAGATGCATAGCTTATGCTATTAACTTAGTTGTACAAGATATTTTAAATTTTGAATGGGCAGATAAATTGATTAAAAAATGTAATACTTTATATAATTTTTTTAAATCTTCACATCGTGCAGGTAAAAATTTAACTATATTTTATATAATTTTAATTTATTATAATAATTATTTTTTTGTTTAATACTAAAGGAGCAGAATTAAGATTATTAATAGAACAAATGAAAATAAGTGGTGGAACTCTTAAAAATTATTCTAAAACTAGATGGACAACTGCAAGTGAAACAATTGAAAGTGTTTTAAATTTAGAAAAAGTTTTAAAAAAGGTAATAAATTAATTTATAAAATATTATTAATTATTATTTATAAATTTATTATTATTTTTAGATTGTTGAAGATAATATTTTAACAAATGATCAAATTAATAGTATTATTAATCGTTATAATTTTTTTATTCATTTAAAAGTACTAAATTTTGTATTATTGCCTTTAAAAAAATCAATTTTATTATTAGAAAGTAATAATACAACTCTTGGTGATTGTTTTTTAAGTTTAGCAAAAACAAGTGCAACAATTAAAAAATTACTGATACAACAATATGCAAAGTTTCGACAATATTGTATTAATATTTTAAATAAGAGATTTGAAGAATTTGATAATGATTTATATCTTTTAGGATACTTTTTAATGCCAAATTTTCGTAGTAAGTATACTTTATAAAATAATATAATAATTACTTGTAGTAATTTAATTTTTGCTAAAATTTATAATTAGTATAAAGTTTTAAAATCTATAAAAAAATTATAAATTTTAAAACTTTTATAATTTATATTTTATTTAAAAACAGTATCTAATTTTATTTTTTATATTTTAGATTTAGGATTTAAAAAAGGACAATTTACCCGAATTATTAGCTCTATTTGGTTAAAATTTGGAAATACTTGTGAAAGTGGTAATATTTTAATTGCTCATCTTCAACTTTATAAAGAAAAAAAATATCTATATGATAAAGTATATATTCAAGGTCATGATATTCCTATAATTTGGTGGAATTCAATTGAACCAGAACCCGAATATCTTCAGGAATTAGCACTAAAAATTTTAGCAATTGTCCCAAATAGTGTTTCTTGTGAACGAAATTTTTCTTTACTTACCTGGTTAACTGGAAACAAACGAACACAAATAGATATTCAAAATTTAGAATCAATTGCAAAACTATGTACATATTATAATTCTAATGCTAAAAAAGAACTTTCTTATTTTGCAAATGAGATAACAGAAGATGAAGTTTTAAAAATATTAAATCAAACAAATATTAATACTTTTGAAGAAAGATTAGAAAAAGAAGGATTTGATAAAGATCAATTATTATTAATTAATAATATAGATGTTAATGAAACACATACAACAACTAAAGAAAATTTAGTTTTATTTTAAGAAAACAATTTAGATTTAAATGATGAAATTTTTATTGATGATTTAGAAAATTTTCCAGATGAAGATGATAATAATAAGAATTTATTATTAGAAACTAATGAAATCTTAGAAAATATTAATGAAGAAACTAATCAAATTTTAGAACAAGATAATTATGATGATTATGATTGGGATCCTAAAGATTTTATAAACTCAGATGATGATTAAGGTAAATATTTAAATAAAAAATATCTTTTTAAAATATAAATAAATATTTATTAAATTTTATATTAATTATGTCTATAAATTTTTAAAATTTTTAATAGTAAATTTTAAATATTTGCAATTACAGTATATTTAAATATATATTAGATTTTTATTTTTTATTTTTTTTAAGCTTTTAATTTAAATAGAAAGTTTTTTTACCTTGTTAGCGGGTTTTTCTTTCTATTAATAATTTTAAATTTTTTAATAAATTTTTATTTTATTTATTTTATATTTTTTTTTAGGTAAAGCTAATCTTTAAAACTAAATTTATTTTATTTTATATTTTTTTTTTATATTATATATTTACTTGACAACCACCATGTCAAATTTAGTTGTTCAAATGCTACAAACAAAATAGAATTAAAATAAAAGGTTCATTAAATTTAACTTAGTAGTTGTCGGGATAGTTTTGCTTAAAAGTCTGAAGAAGTTAAAAAAATCGATTTACAGGAGGTACGAATAACAAATTTTAATTACCTTTATATTCTTGCTTTTTTTATTAATTTTACTATCTTTTGCTAGTTTTCTAATTTTTTTTTTAGTTTTACCACCTTTTAACAGTTTCGCCAACTTCACCAGTTTCGCCAGTTTCGCCACCTTTCGCAATTTTGCCATTTTAATTTTTTTTTGGCGAAAGTCGAAACTAGGTTTCGCCATTCGCCTGTGGCGAAACTTCTAAGTTTCGCCTGCCAACACTAATTACAATACCACAAATAAATAAAATGCTACTGCAAATTGCTAATTAATGGATTTTTATGTACCCAAGTTTTCAAAAGCTATTTTCCCGAAAGGAAAAATAATTAGTCAGTATTATTTTCTTTCGGCAAATAGGTTTCAGAAATCGTATGTATACTTATTCGACAACTTTTGCCCAATATTGTATACATATTTTAATAGGAGCTAATTTACTAATTGGTAATGCTGAAAATAAATGTTATTGAAACATCAGATATGAAATATCAAAACTATGATTCAGAATTACCAAATGATGCTGGTATTTCCCAAAATGAATAAGAAACTGTTAAGAAACTCTACAGAATACTACAGTAAAATTTGAAAACAACTCAATAAATAATGAAATAAAAACTTTTCCAATTTTTTTTTATTTGAAAGCATAGTAACAATCGATCAACATAATTGATCGTTTCAATTAGTAATGGCAAAATTATTCACTGCTAAGTTGCTAAATAATTATTAAATTTCCCATATTAAAATATTAATAAATCGAAAATAAATAAGTAATATTGCAGTTCTTTGTTAATTTATTACGATAGTATCATATGATAACAATACATCCTTTATCTCCGGATAATTCCTATTTCATTTTCTAATTTAAAATTTTCAACCAGAAATAGTTCATTTTGTACGCCCACTTATTTTCGAAATACAGAAATATGTTAATTTATGCAGTGTACTGTACACGTAATACGGATTACACAAGATCAAATCCGTATCCATATTCCATTCGCATATATTGTCGTCTATTCACTGTACGTACGTTATTTTACATATTTTTAACAGTTTAAATGGATTTAGCAGCTTGAACATTGAACAGTTTGAATTGAATGAATTAAATATAAAAAATTATTTTATTGAAAAATAAGCCTCTTACATAAAAGTTCAAAAGATTATTGCAACACGAGTTATTAAATTAGTACAACAAAAACAATTAATAAAGTTTTTATTCAATTAACTAACTTGGATTTAAGCAATTATAAATAAACATATAAAAAATCAACAATGAATCAAAATGCTGAAGAACTTTATCAACTTGGACAAAAATATATATTTGGTGAATATATTGGAATAGATAGAAAAAAAGCCTTTGAGTATTTTAGAAAGGCAGCTGATTTGGGACATTTATGCGCTTTAGGTGAATGTTATCGATTTGGAATTGGTGTTGAAAAAGATGAACAAATGGCATTCGAATACTTTCAAAAAGCTGCTGATATGAGCGATACTACAGGAATATTTATTATTGGAAGATGTTATTCCTATGGAATTGGAGTAAAAGAAGATAAACAAAAAGCATTCGAATATTATCAAAAAAGTGCTAATATGGGTTATGTTCGTGGAATACGTAATGTTGGACATGAATTTGGAGTTGCTCAGGATGAACAAAAAGCATTTGAATATTATCAAAAAGCTGCAAACATGGGTGATGCTGTTGGAACAAATGATGTTGGATATTGTTATTTAAGTGGAGATGGAGTTGAAAAGAATAAAAAAAAAGCATTCGAATATTATAAAAAATCAGCAGAAATGGGATATCTTCTTGGAGTACATTGTGTTGGATTGTGTTATCAAAATGAATGGGGAGTCGAAAAGGATGATCATAAAGCATTCAAATGGCATAAAAAATCAGCAGAGATGGGATATCCTGATGGAATGTTTCATGTTGGTGAATATTACCGAAAAGGAGAAGTTGTTGAAAAGGATATAGATATTGCTTTCGAATGGTATTTAAAATCTGCTATCATTGAACAAGCTAAAACTAAATTTTAGAAAAAGAGAATATTTTCATTGGATGGCATATGATAAATTTGAAAATATCAAAGAAATTGGTAAAGGTGCATTTTTCTACAGTTTTTAGAACAAAATATTTAAGTCAATATGGGTCACATGAAGAAGTAGCAATCAAGATCGTAAAAGATTCTAATAAAAATAAAGATCCATTCTTAAATGAGGTATTTTTCATTATTATGCAGCCATTTTATTGACGACTGCTTTAAAAATTCTCTTATTTTTGCATTTTATGTCATCACTGTTTTATCTTTTTTTTTTTTTGTAGCATAAATTTTAACAATGGCAAAGTTTAAATTGATGACATAAATATACGAATATAGGAAAATAGTATAGTCGTCAAAACTATATAATCTTTATTTTTATCTAAGTAATTTAAATATAATAATTTATTTTGTTTTTTTTTAGTTAAAAGCTTGTCATAGCTTAGGACAATATTTGGGAATATCAAGAGACGAAAAAACGGACGATTATATTTTAGTAACGAGTTACGCAAA